AGGTATGTAGCAGGCTACACCATCTAGGTTTGTGTAAGTATACTCTATGATGTTTGCACAACGATGAAATTGCCTAACGATGAATTTCTCAGAACGTGGTCCCCTTGTTAGGCAAGGCATGACTCTCCCACAGTATCAGTGGGGTATTGCAGATTAGGTCCAGGATCCCCTCTGATATCAAAATCCACAGATGCTCAAGTCCGTTGTATAACATGGTGTAGTATTTGCATATAACCTATGCACATCCTCTCTCTCATAAGGGTGGCCTTGCTGAAATAACAGGAAAATATTTAATCCCACAATTTTCTAGTAGCAGCTAAAGATCAATCCTATGAGCTCTCTCTCACTTTCTCTCCCTAGCTAGCAGGCACCTTACAGGGACTCTGTTTTCAAAACATCTGAAGAGCCAAAAAAACAGAAAGGAAATGTAAATCTTTCTCTTTACATTCACCTGCTCACAGCCTTTAGAATTTGTTTTATAGCCTCTAGGAGTACCTGAGAAGCTCCCAGGTGGACAGCAGGGGGGCAAACTCCAGATCTTAGTTTCCTGTCCAAAACCATTATTTCAGAGGCAAAATCGCATTCCCTGAGATAAGCCTGACTATACTGCAGAGATAACCAAGCCTCCAGGAACAGAGAAACAAGAAAGACACCTGACATCTTGCAGCTGCCTGCTATAAAAGCAGCGAGCCACTTGGCCTCACTGCTAGCACCCCCTTCTCTTTCTTTGGGATGTCACATTGGCTCCCTGCTTTCTTCCCCCCATGCCTTCTCCTCTCTCACTCTTTCATTTTCTCTAGCCTTCTGAGAAGAAAAAATAAACTTTTTTTTACTTTTATATCTTAATTTCTGCATGAGCAATCTTTCTCCATCGGTGCCATGAGCACCTACTGGGCTTTCCACCCCAAAATCTCCTATACTTTAAATCATCTCTAGATTACTTATAATACCTAATACAATGTAAATGCTATGTAAATAGTTGTTATACTATTAATATACTGTTTAGGTTTGGGAATAATGACAAGAATAGTCCGTACTTGTTTAGTACAGATACAGCCATTCATATTTTTTCCCAAATATTTTCAATTAGTTGGTTGAGTCACCGAACAGAATCCGTGGATACCGAGGGCTGACTATATGTAAAAATCCATGGATTTGTAATGACGCTTGTGATATTGTAAAAAATATATATGGTCTTCATCCTGCTTCTGGACAAATAGCTCCTAAAATCCTTGGAATCTCTGGAGTGATAAGAATGTCCTTTGTAAGCTATTGAATGATTGGTGGCAGGGAGCTAGCAGATAGTCTCCAGGTGGGGGCTGGTTGCCAGGGGAACCAGCCGTAATTAGAGGGTTGGAACTTTCAGTCCCACCCACAATCTCCCGGGAAGATAGAAGGGCTGAAGGCTGAGCTGATAACGCAATGGCTGATGATTTAATCATTAATGCCTATGCAACAAAGCTTCCATAAAAACCCAAAAAGATTTCAGTTCTAGGGGCTTCCAGAGAGCTGAACATGAGGATGCTTGTAGACAGTGACGCAGTCAGGTCAGAGGACACCAAAGCTCCATGCCCCTTCTCCCATACCTTCCCCTATGCATCTCTTCCCTCTGGCTGTTCATCTGCATCCTTTGTAATAGCCTTTATAATAAATTAATAAATTTAAATTTACCCATTTTACTATATTTCCCAGAATTCTAAGTTCTAGCAAATTAATTGAACCCAACAAGGGAGATTGTGAGAACCGTAATTTACAGCCAGTCGGTCAGAAGTGCAGGCAAACAACCTGAGGCTTGAGGTTGGCATCTCAAGTAGGGGGTAGTCTTATGGGACTGAGCCCTCAACCAGTGGGATCTGAAGCTGTCTCCAGGTAAATAGTGTCAGAACTGAGTTAAACTGAAGGACATCCAACTGGTGTCTGCTGGAGAATCTGCTGTAGAACTAATTGCTTGCTTGGTATGTAGGAAAATACCCCCACACATCTGGTGTCAGAAGTGTTCACTCAGAGAGTGAGAGTAGGAAAAACACTTTGGTTTGGTTTTTCCTATATCCTTACAATGCTCAAAAACAAAGCAGAGCAAAATAAACAAACAAAATACTCATTGGTCTCCTTTGGAGGTTGCTCAGGCACTAAATTCTTATGCGAAAACATTTCAAGGGAAAGAATCAAGAGTGTATCCTGCTTTCCCTAGATGGACTATATTTCAGAGTAATAAAATACTTGATGAGGGAAAATTCTTTTTTTTTTTTGAGACAGAGTCTCACTCTTTTGCCTGGGCTAGAGTGTCGTGGTGTCAGCCTAGCTCACAGCAACCTCAAACTCCTGGGCTCAAGCAATCCTTCTGCCTCAGCCTCCCGAGTAGCTGGGAC